TTAAACAATCACACAGTCAGTCAAAAGGCATACAGGCACACAGGCACACAGCCGTGAGGAAAATAACTTTTCGAAGAATGCATCTTTTTTAACTTTCATAAATTCTATTGTCTTTGAAAATTTAAACAGGAGTTTTGTCTGTTTTTGATATAAAATCCATCTGAGGTGTAAGGATGAGGATTACTGCAAAGACTGACTTCCTGCGAGCCGGAATTGGAAGTTAGTTAATTGAAAATTGAATATAAGATTTCGATTCTCAGCATACAACTGGGCAAAGCAGGCTGACCTGTACACTGCTGATATCCATTAAAAATGACTTAACAATAAACTGTCTTCTTCTGGGACGGATGTTTCTGTTTCAATAAAAAATAAATGCATCCTCATGGGCTCATTACATCCTGCTCAGACTAAGGCTTCAGTTTTAATATATTTAATAATTGAAACAGTGCCTGTTAATAGCGAGCTGGGTTATCCAGTTACTTTATCAAAAACAAAAAATCAAACAATTGCTTTCTTACGGTTTGCACACAGTACAAGCAAGGTCAATTTTGTCATGCACATGTGGAATGTGCAGCCCGGATTTTGGGTCTATTGGACTTTTTGGTAGTTGGGACATGTTGACTAAAAACGATTTTGGCCTATTCTGGTGGAATTTCATTGCTATACTCTGCACTAACCACAACTGTCTGTATCGACTGACAAATGTACGTATGCAGAGCGTTCGCTGACATATCGGCGTGTGGCAAAGTAAAGTGTGAACTAGGCTTAATGGCCGCAGGCAGAGAAGATCCTAAGTAGCACTTCTTAGCCAACCCTGGCTCCTGGAGTGCTTGGCAAGAATGATATTCTCTTCTCCACTACTGCCTCCAAAGGGTCCAGGGTCAGTCCTGTGATGGAGCTGGCCTTCCTGATGAGTTTGTTCAGGGTCAGTCCTGTGATGGAGATGGTCTTCCTGATGAGTCTGTTTAGGGTCAGTCCTGTGATGGAGCTGGTCTTCCTGATGAGTTTGTTCAGGGTCAGTCCTGAGATGGAGCTGGCCTTCCTGATGAGTTTGTTCCGGATCAGTCCTGTGATGGAGCTGGCCCTCCTGATGAGTCTGTTCAGGGTCAGTCCTGTGACGGAGCCGGCCTTCCTGATGAGTTTGTTCAGGGTCAGTCCTGTGACGGAGCTGGCCCTCCTGATGAGTCTGTTCAGGGTCAGTCCTGTGACGGAGCTGGCCTTCCTGATGAGTTTGTTCAGGGTCAGTCCTGTGACGGAGCTGGCCCTCCTGATGAGTCTGTTCAGGGTCAGTCCTGTGACGGAGCCGGCCTTCCTGATGAGTTTGTTCAGGGTCAGTCCTGTGACGGAGCTGGCCTTCCTGATGAGTTTGTTCCGGGTCAGTCCTGTGATGGAGCTGGCCTTCCTGATGAGTTTGTTCCGGGTCAGTCCTGTGACGGAGCTGGCCTTAAACAAAACAGCACATTAAGCAGATTAATTACAATCCTTGACGCATTTCCTAATGTGTGTATATATATTTGTGTAAGGTGTAACACTAGCGATACACCGTACAGCACAGTAGTGCTGGGTTTTCTCTGACAGCGTAACTGCTCGTTACAGGGGGCGGGTTTGACATTGCTGATAGAGTGATCTAGGATGCTGAGGTAGTGTGAAAGGTCCTGGGGGGCAGTGCGGTGTGGAGCAGGGGGTAAAGACCATTCCGTAGCCTGGCAGACCTGACTCTGATGCTGCAGTACCTCCTCTTAGATGGCAGAAGTGTGAAAAGTCCATGTGAGGAGTGTGAGGGGTCCTGCACAGTGCTGAGGTCAGAGAAACCCCATAATGCTCATTGCTGTCCTCACTATCCTCTGGTATCTTACATCTTTACACATTAAAACATACTACTAGGTTATTCTGTGTCAGCAGCAATAGCACTTTTAATAGGGACCATTACAGACTTTCTGTTACACTTGTGTAGATGATTTGAGGTCTTTATATTTCTGCCTTATTGACAGAGACCAAATGGAAGAATGCAGTTCTGATCTGCAGGATAAACCGGGTTTATCTTCCATATTGAAGGTATGCATTTATTGCTAATTTATATTTTCTGAACTGTTGAGTGAATTGGCTTATATTTTATACAGCTGTACAATAAGAAATTAATCATGTTAAAGGAAATATATTAAAACCTACGGTTCACAAATGAAACTATGAAATGGTCTGGTTCAAATAGCAATAATTAGCTGTGATGGTGTATTTTAGTCATTAGAGGAAAATGCTGTAAGGTTCCTGAAGGACGAGCTGAAGAAGATCACGAGGTACCTAGATCAGAATTACCCAGAATGCTCTAAGCCTCAGCTGGAGGAGGACAATGACCTGGACAGTGACGATCAGATGCAGAAGACCTGTGGTAGAGATGGAGCTCTGAAGATCACACTGTACATCCTGAGGACCATGGAGCAAAATGATCTTGCTGATCTACTGGAGAAGAGTAGGAGCTGTATCTCATTCTCTGTGTGTTTGTTTGGCCACAGAAAAACAGTATATGGAAAAAATACTACGTATTACATTTCAGTTTATCATTTATTTTGATTTAGGTTTGCTTGTATGAGTAAAAAAATGTGTTTTTTTAAAAGTCTGTACATTTACCTCCCATTTCATTTCAGGGCATCTTCTGTCACAATGTCAGCGCAGAATCAAACGTACCCTGAGGAAGAAATGTGAGTGTGTATTTGAAGGGACAGCTAAGGAAGGACAGCCAACATTTCTCAGTGAGATTTACACAGAACTCTACATAACTGAAGGTGGGACTGGAGGAGTCAATGATGAACATGAAGTGAGACAGATTGAAACAGCATCCAAGAAAATGGTAACAGAAGATACTACAGTCAAGTGCAATGATATATTTAAACCCTTATGTGGGCATGAGACACCTATCAGAACTGTACTCACCAAAGGGATTGCAGGTATCGGGAAAACAGTCTCTGTGCAGAAATTTATTCTCGACTGGGTGGATGGAAAAGCAAACCAGGACATTCACTTCATATTTGCTCTTCCTTTCCGGGATCTAAATATGATTGAGCATGGATACAGTGTGATTGAACTGCTTCACCACTTTGACCCCGATCTCAAATCAGTTGAATCCACTGAGCTGTTTAGGTACAAAGTCTTGTTCATCTTTGATGGTCTGGATGAGTGTCGCCTTCCTCTCGATTTTTCTAACAATGAGAGCTGGTTTGATGTAACAAAGAAAACGTCACTGGATGTGCTGTTGACTAACCTCATTAAGGGGAATCTGCTTCCATCCGCTCTCCTCTGGATCACCACCCGGCCAGCAGCAGCCAATCAGATACCTCCTGAGTGCATCCACCGGGTGACAGAGATACGAGGGTTCAGTGATGCCCAGAAGGAGGAGTATTTCAGGAGGAGATTCAGTGATCAGAGCCTGGCCAGCAGGATTATCACACATGTGAAATCATCAAGGAGCCTCTTCATCATGTGCCACATACCTGTGTTCTGCTGGATTTCAGTCACTGTCCTTGAGAGGCTTTTTAGTGAGACTGACAGTGGAGAAATTCCAAGGACTCTGACTGAAATGTACACACACTTCCTGATCTTTCAGACAAGTTTAAAAAATGACAAGTACATGAAAAACAGTGAAACTAAGCTTAATAAATGCTTTGAATTCCTGTTAAAACTTGGCAAACTGGCTTTTTACAACCTTCAGAAAGGCAATATCATATTTTATGAGCAAGATATGACAGAGAATGGCATTGATGTCACTGAAGCTTCAGTTTACTCTGGAGTGTGCACAGAAGTCTTTAAAGAGGAATATGGGTTGTATCAGGAGAAGGTGTACTGCTTTGTGCATCTGAGCATCCAGGAGTATCTCGCTGCTTTATGCAAGTTTCTGTCAAACTCATCAGCTGACCTGCTGAAGACTGCAGTAGATCAGGCATTAAAGAGCAAGAATGGACACTTGGACCTCTACCTCCGCTTCCTCCTGGGCCTCTCAACAGACTCCAGTAAGACTTTGTTACAAAGGCTACAGGGACAGACCAGAACCAGCTCATGTAACATTAAAAAAGTAACGAAATACATCAAGGGGAAAATAAAGGAGAATTTATCTCCAGAAAGGACCATCAACCTGTTCCATTGTCTGAATGAGCTGGGTGACAATTCTCTAGTTGAGGAAGTACAAGGATACCTGAATTCAGGACGTCTTTCAGCAGAAGACCTCTCACCTGCACAGTATTCAGCTCTGGCCTTTGTGTTACTGATGTCAGATGAGGAGCTGGATGTGTTTGATCTGAAGAAATTCGTCAGATCAGATAAGGAGCATTGGAGGCTGCTGCCTGTGGTCAAGACATCTAGGACAGCTCTGTAAGTGATGATGTGAAAATGTATCTTGTCTGGCAGTAACATTAACGTTGTTTAAAATATGTAAAATATATATTTTTTTTGTGGATTAATACCTGGGATTGATTTGTTTTTTTGATAATCTGGGATTTTATAATGACTGAGGGTAGTGTTTGTTTTGAAAAAACAAAAAGTAACATTTCCATGACCATCCAGTGTGCATCCTAACCTGCTATAGAAACAAAGGGGGCTCTTTATCTGGGGGGTTAATGAGTAAAATGATCATTTATTTGGAAGTACAGGTACATTGGAATGCTTCTCTTCTCACTCTCCATGAGAGACACAGACACATTTACAGGTGACACCAGGCTTAGGGTCACAGCACAGGGTCAGCTGACATCCAGCAGCCCTGGAGCTGGGGGTTAAGTCGCAGTCCGATCGCAGCAGTTTTTGGTCGGTACCACAAAAGTACCGAAGTGTAATACAAGAGTCCGAAAGATGGCTGACGACTGCAGTGGAAGCTATTTCATTGGTCTGAATATGTTACAGGAGGATTCACATAATTTTCACATAGTATTTTCACATTCATTGTTAATAGTACACAGTAGAATTAACAATGCGTACAGTAGGTTGTGAATAAGGTTGTGTCTTAAAATGTTTTCCAGGTTGGACAGCTGTAATCTCACAGAAAAATGCTGTGAGGAACTGGCCTCAGCTCTCAGATCAAACTCCTCACACCTGAGAGAGCTGAACCTGAGTGACAATGACCTGCAGGATTCAGGAGTGACGCTGCTCTCTGCTGGACTGGGGGATTCACACTGTAAACTGGAGATACTGAGGTCAGTATTACTGGGTATTCCACACTGTAAACTGGATATACAGAGGTCAGTATTAATGGGTATTCCACACTGTAAACTGGAGATACTGAGGTCAGTATTACTGGGTATTCTACACTGCAAACAGGATATACAGAGGTCAGTACTAATGGGTATTCCACACTATAAACTGGAGATACTGAGGTCAGTCCTATTTAACTGTTCAATACGAAACTAGTACTTTAATACAAAGTCTGACGGCTGCAAGGCAAGTCAGACAAGTGAACTGCTGCACTCATACTTATTTTATTTTTATGTTTTTTATTTTTCAGAAAAGAGGATATTACGTTCTGGTGCCAGTTTTATTTTAATATTGTTATGCCCACTTAATATTGTTCTGCTGTGTACTAGAGTAAAAGCATGAGTTGAACTTTACACAGTTTCGTAGCAGAGGAACCTAATCACATTTTGTCAGGTGGAATTGCACCAAATAAAACACAGTGGTACCTCAGAACTCGAACTTAATCTGTTCAGAACTTGGGTTCGAGTTCTGATCGAATTTTCCGCATAAGAAATAATGTAAAACCAATTAATTGGCTCCCGCTGTCATGATCGGCGAGTGACGAGCAGGTGAGAGAGGCGAGAGCAGCCAGGTTGAACTGAAGAACGGGGTTTATTAAAGACAATTGACAGGACAGGCACACTCACGCAGTATCGACAATGACAGATCTGACTAGACGGAACTTAGACGCGGACTAAATACACATGACAAGCTGGCATTAACAAGAAACAGGTGAGAACAATCAGGTATTAACACGAGGTAAGACGGGGCTGGCACACACGAGGATCGGACGGAGCAGGACGTGACACCCGCCCCCAAAGAAATACACTTAAATATGTTTTTTTGGCATTTAAATACAAAATAAACATGATAAAACAAGAAGAGCATATACTAAACACGTCTAAGCACATTTATCAAAACAGTAATTTGTAAAGTAAGAAAATAAATGTATCCAAACAATGTCTAAAGTAAAAAAAAAAAAACAGTGACACCTTTTTCATAAACCCAGACACAGCACTACTACTTTGAGTCATACTAAGGGTTTGTATTTAAGGTAGGAACAAAAGCAAAACATTTTAAAAATGAGAAAAAAATTGAAAGAGAGTGTATACCACGCGGTCCATTGTTTATTTTTATTATTACTCTGTAACATTTGTACATATTGCGTAACTTTTTGGTGAGCAATGGCTACCAAAATGATATAAAGTACAGTATATTACCTGATATTTTCAATAAAAAAACACTATCACCAACAAACAATGCTATCGCAGTGAATGCGAGGCTGAGAGCGTTACCCTTTGTTTCCGCTGAGAGACGTGCTGCGTGACTCATTTCCCCGCGTATACAAATTATCTTAGATCGGCATTCACGGTTTGACTTCTGAGATTCAGATCGAGTTCTAGGTTTTTTTTTTCGAACTGGTTGGTTTGACTTTTAAGAAATTCAAGTTGTAATGAGTTCGAGTACTGAGGTACCACTGTACTCTTTTATTTTGGGTACCTGCTACATGGGCACCTTCCTGTGTCACAGCAGCTGCCTATTAGCTATGAGAGATAAATCTGTCCTGTAATCAGCTCTCACTGTACTGTACAGATATTTGTGGACTACTGCGTATACAGTAAAATGTTCATGTGCTAAGATCTCTCAAACAGAATTCATGTAAGTTCTGTTGCATCTGTATATTTTGTTCTCAAACAGAATTTATGTAAGTTGTGTTGCATCTGTATATTTTGTTCCAATTGACATTTAACTTAATAATTTCTTCAGTTTTCATATAAAATGCTAGACATCAGCCGGGCTGGATTGAGAACCAAAACAGGCTGATAGGCCTGCATTAACTACTGGGGATGGTCACATCTCCTCCTTTCAGAGTTACTAGTCAGTTTGGAGACACCTGGCAGAAAGATGGCTGACGACTGCAGGAACAGTGACACACAGGTAGCTTTTTATCAGGAACAGGGAGAACAGGAAAAGGGGGAGGTGCTGAAAGGCAGTTTGGTCTGGGGGTCCAGGCCAGTCGCTGGTCCCAGTCAGGCCGTGGCTTTGGGCATGACAGTACTGGAATTTTGATGGGTCACTGCCAACTGAAGTTTGTCTGATATTTTGTGATTTCCTTTCTGCAGGCTGTCAGGCTGTAGAGTCACAGAGAGAGGCTGTTCATCTCTGGCTTCAGCTCTGAGGTCAAACCCCGCACACCTGAGAGAGTTGGATCTGAGCTACAATCACCCAGGAGACTCAGGAGTGAAGCTGCTCTCTGCTGTACTGGAGGATCCCAGCTGTAAACTGGAGAAGTTGAAGTGAGTACAGAGTGTGTGTCTGACACGCTACAGATACTTATGCATGTACTGTATGTGAAGAAGAGGCACCAATAAATAAATGGATACAGCAGTACTATGTCATTCTGCTTCTCCTTTAGTGTGGACCACAGTGGAGAGTACAGGGACAGACCAGGCTTACAGAAATGTAAGTGTGTTTGCAGGTTTTTATTAATAATACCATCAATACTGTGTTATGGTTGTATTCACACAGTTGTTGTGTTGAGTGTGTTTTCTGCACTGTATGTAGGTGGATTTCCATGTTTGTGTATAGGTGAGTTTCTGTGTGTGTCATTTTAGACAACATCCAAAGGAGAAAAACAACACAGACATCACCACAAAACCAATATTAATTCATTTATCAATTTAAAAAAACTATTGGGTTTGGGTTAATAGATGATTGGTTTCTTAAATAAAAATAGTTGTCTGGGAACTTATGTACAAACAGATACTTTGTAGCTGCTCATATAGTCTTTGTGTTTGTGTGAGAGTGTAACAGGGGTGAAATACATTCTGAGATAGTTGTATATCCTTCACATTTGTTATTTTTACATAGCGCTGAGTGTACGCGTTTTGTTTTTGAGATCCGTATTTTCCTAAGACGGCTTCTGTAGTCTCCCCCAAACCAGCAGTGATACCGGACTCTCTCCTCAGTCTGCGGTTAACGCTTCTGTGAGGGGCTTTGTTTCCAAACCGGTTAGAATTAAGCTGCCGTTTTAACGTAAAGGCACTCACTTTTAGTATTCATCTTTGGTGTCGAATTTTTGTGGTAAATATGTTTGTGGTGAGTATGTCTGATGAATGCTGTGACAGTGGTACCTCAGTTCTCGAACTCATTAGAACTTGAATTTCTTAAAAGTCGAACCAACCAGTTAGAAAAAAAAATTACCTAGAGCTCGATCTGAATCTCACAAGTCAAACCGTGAACGCCGACCTAAGATAACTTGTACATGCGGGGAAATGAGTCACGCGGCACGTCTCTCAGTGGAAACAAAGGGTAATGCTTCAGTCTCAGCCTCGCATTCGCTATGATAGCATCGTGCATGTTTACAATAGCTAAATACATATATTTAGACAGTAAAAATACATTTAGACAATGATAGACATTAACAGTAATTTATTATATAATAAAATTAATTTTAAAATAAAGATTTCTTATTCATTATTTTAATATTAATAATAAACCCTTAATACGTTTAATTATAATAATATTGTTGTGCCGAGCAGAGACGGAACGGAGACAAAGGCGCAGACGTCAGGGTATCGGGGAATACGGTGTTTAATTACAGGTAAGGCAGGCAAAACACAGACGGACAATACAATGACCGGACTGGGGAAACAAACTGAAACGTGGACGAAATACAGAGGACTAATGACAACAACCAGAAGCAGCTGATCACATGGGGATCCCACATGAGGTTAATGAAGGGGCGTTTCACACGGAAGGTGCGGACAATCGGGGCAGGACACATTGTTCGCATACATTTATTTTCTTACTTTACAAATTACTGTTTTGATAAATGTGCTTAGATGTGTTTAGTACAGTATATGCTCTTCTTGTTTTATCATGTTCATTTTATGTTTAGATGCCAAAAAAAAACATATTTAGGTGTAATTTTTTGGGGCCGGGAACCAATTAATTGGTTTTCCATTATTTCTTATGGGGAAAATTCGGTCACAACTCGAACTTTTTAGGATTCAATCCAGAGTTCTGAACGGATTAAATTCGAGTTCTGAGGTACCACTGTACTTTGCATTTTTATTTACCTGTAATTAAGCCGTTAGTTTAGCATGCGCGGCGTTTTGACGGCTCTTCCCGCCGGCAGCTCCAGGTTATGGACAGGATCCGTTCCCGGAGTCTGCCTTTAGAATCAGAATCAGAATAGGGTTTATTGCCAAGTACGTTCACACATACAAGGAATTTGCTTTGGTGGTTGGTACAAGACATTGGGAGATAAGGGTGGGTTTATATATATATATATATATATATGTGTGTGTGTGTGTGTGTGTGTATATATATACACACACACACACACACAAACACAGGGGTATATACAGGTACTAATATAAATAGATAGAAGTATGTATGATAGTATGTGACAGTGAAGTATGATATAGCAGTGGAACTGAGAGAAATATATACATATATGAGAGAGTGCAAGCTTATACTAGGATGAGGAAATAGTATTTAAGCGAGTGTTCCTGGCCTTATTGATGAGGCGGGCTGCGGTGGGGAAGAAACTGTCCCTATGGCGTGATGTTTTGGTTTCAATTGACCGCAACCTTCTGCCAGAGGGGAGAGTCCGGAGGAGTTTGTGACCAGGGTGAGAGGAATCAGCCATAATCCTTCCTGCTCTTTTCAAAGTCCTGGACTCGTACACGTCGTGTAAAGATGGAAGGTTCGTCTTTCCGGCAGAGTGAATGATGCACTGTAGTCTTCTTGGCAGTGGCAAGGACAAGAGTCGAGTTTGTAGGAAAGCCAGAAACATAAATGCAGTACATAATAAATAATAGTAAATTTATTATTATTGTAACTAAAGAGTAAAAATAGAAGTCTGTATACTGTATTGTACCTCAAGCTGACAAGTGCGCGCATTCGTTATTACGGACCATTGTTTTTTAATATCCTCCTGAGACCCGACCTATTCATTTATGTCCATTGTAGTGGACATTGTATTTTTGCATTTATTTTTTCACTGATGTTAGGAAACGTATTTATTCCTGTTGTGCACTAAAGAGGACATGCTGTGAAATTAAAATAAGAATAAATTTGAAAAAATCTAAATTGTAAGATGTCTTATTTCCTCCTAAGACAAATAATCTACAATTGAAGGACACTTTTTTCCTTGGGTCTCAGTAGGATATAGCAGGATTTATAGCAGATCGTCCATAAGTACAAGGTGTCCGTATAGAAGTCGGGCGTTCTTAACTCGGGCTGCCTGTACCTGAATTCCCGGTTCGGTTTGGGAAGCTGCACTGTTTCTGTATCGTACAGAAAATAAAGCACAGATTAAAGCGCTGCTCCTCCTGATGGTTTTAGCTTCTTCCTCCTGCCTACAGACTCCTGCCCGCTGACGTTGGACCTCAAGACACCACACAGACGTCTGTCTCTGTCAGAGGGGAACAGGAAAATGACATGGGGGGCAGAGCGACCATATACTGATCATCCAGAGAGATTTGACTGCTGCACCCAAGTTCTGTGCAGAGAGAGTCTGACTGGCCGCTGTTACTGGGAGGCTGAGTGGGATGGATATAGAGCTGGGATAGGAGTGACTTATAAAGGAATCAGGAGGAAAGGAGGGAGTGACTGTCGGCTTGGAAACAATGACAAGTCATGGAGTCTGCGCTGTGATCCTGACAGTTACTCTGTCCGGCACAATAATAACAAGACTCTCATACCGATAGAGCCCTCAGGCTCCCGCAGAGTAGGAGTGTATCTGGACTGGGAGGCTGGTACTCTGTCCTTCTACAGAGTCTCCTCCGAAGGACTGACCCTCCTGCACAGGGTCACCTCCTCATTCACTGAGCCCCTCTGTCCAGGGTTTGGGGTTTATCCAGGCACCTCAGTGTCACTGTGCATGCTGGGATAGCTCACTGCCTGCTGGAGGAATCATTTTTACTACATAAGCATATAAGAAACTTACAAACGAGAAGAGGCCATTCGGCAAATCAAGCTCGTTTGGGGAGAACTTACTGTATCAGTGTGACGTTGCTGGTTCTTCACGGTAAATCTCTTCTCTTTAACCTGTATAATCTTTTTTTACTCTGAAATTATGTTTCACAAAAATAAACGACTGGGTTTGGTGAGCTGAGCAAACAATAATAACTTTTTCTCTCTGACTAAAATCTAATGTACAATATATATATTTGTCTATATAAGTATAAGCCTAAATAAAGGTGGTCCATGCCTATAAATACCGGGGTGTCGTGATTGATGACTCCCTCACTTTTAAGTCGCATGTGGAGAAATTAGCTTCTTTATCAAGGCTAAAGTTGTGTTTTTCTTCTAATGCAAGAAAGCAGCTTGTCTCTGCTGGACTATGGGGATCTTTTGTACATGAATGCTTCTGCTCAATGTCTCCGAATGATTGACACTGTTTACCATGCTTCCCTGAGCTTTATTAGTAATTGTAAAGGACACACCACTGTAAGTTATATTCCCGGGTAGGATAGCCTGCTCTGGCCACCCAATGGATCAGTCATTCTTATACTTTTATATACAAGGTAATTCTTGGACTTCCTTCCATTCCTAAGATTATTTGTTGCTTCCTTTTCCATAAGCCTGTACTGAATTGGGTAGAAAGGCTTTTGTACACGTTGTACCTTTTGCGTGGAATATGTTGCAGAAAGACTGGAAATGACTGGAAGTTAATCTCATTGAGTGCTTATAAATCCAGAGAGTTCTTGTGGCTGACTCATTGCATGTACCTGTTTCTTTTGCTTGTGTTGTAACTGTGTAATTTTGTAACTCTTTTTGTATTTTATTGCTATCTATCTTGGCCAGGACACCCGCAAAAAAGAGGTTTTTAAATCTCAATGGGATTTTGCTGATTAAGGTATTAAGGTAATAAAAATACACACACAGTGCATGGTCAGAGCAAATACACACACAGCGCACTGTCAGAGCAAATATATACACAGCGCATGGTCAGAGCAAATACACACACAGTGCATGGACACAAGCTGAGACGAGAGGGCATCCGGCCCCACCCCAACAAGATCCAGGCCATACAAGACATGGCTCCCCCATGCAACAAAGCTGGGGACCATACTGGTCACTTACCTCTCCAGATTTGCCCCAAACCTCTCAGAGACCACAGCTCAACTCCGGCCGCTGTTTAAGGAAGACAGCGAGTTTATATGGGACTCAAATCATGATGTTGCATTCCAGCAAGTGACAGACCTCCTACCACAGGAGTGCGGCCCAATTCTATCGTACTTTGACCACACTGAAGATATGAAACTACAGGTCAATGCATCCAAATGTGGCCTAGGAGCCGTCCTGCTCCAAGGAGAGAAACCGGACATGTCCAAGGCACTAAATGAGACTGAAGAGAACTACGCCCAAATCGCAAAGGGGCTGTAGGCGGTGCTCTTTGGATGCAAGAGGTTTAGCCAGTAACTGTATGGACGAGGTGATCGTCGAGTCAGTAACTGTATGGACGAGGTGATCGTCGAGTCAGTAACTGTATGGGCGAGGTGATCGTCTAGCCAGTAACTGTATGGGCGAGGTGATCGTCGAGTCAGTAACTGTATGGGCGAGGTGATCGTCGAGTCAGTAACTGTATGGGCGAGGTGATCGTCTAGCCAGTAACTGTATGGGCGAGGTGATCGTCTAGCCAGTAACTGTATGAGCGAGGTGATCGTCTAGCCCAGGGGTCCCCAAACTACGGCCCGCCCCCACATTTGGACCGGCCCTCTCAACATTGCCAGAGACATATTTTGTATGTACCAATGTAATTTTAAATATACTTGTCTGTATTTGATAACAAAGGTTGGCTTTCAAACTAAAATGTCCCTTAGTTATTAATGTAGCCTAATTAATTTTTAAAAATCACGTACCAACAGAATGGTACGTTCGACGTAACGTGCCATTGCAATCGAACAGATGATGCGCGAGCTCAAAGAGAAGACACATTTAAAAAGCACCCTCAGAAACCTTGGACGGTCTACTTTTCAAATATATATAGGTAGAAACTAAATATATTTTTACAGCTTCGTGATACGAATAGAAAGAACAAGAGTGACTGACTTAAGTGTCTGCGCCTCGAAGCAGCTCTGATAGCCTGCCCACTTGCAAATCGCGCTATTCGCATGATAATAACATAATAATCCGACAGTTGGTATTGGATAAAGAAATATGTGAATACGCCCATTGTTACTCAAATAAACAAGAGCACATGCCTGGGTAGTGTTTACATTGATCGGCTACAATATGGCACACAGATACGTTTCTGCCGCTGAACCTTTGCGCCAGTGTTGCTAGTCAGCTGTGAATCTCCGGTCTGTGTTCCTGGGTAAGTGGGCTAAGCCTGTGTGTCTATAATCACAAGGTTGTCGGTTCAAACCCGCGTTTCAATACGCAGTAATGCTGCTATTTAGAACGTGAATACTACACGCCCCCGATGCAGGTAAAACAAAGAAAGGTGACATGGTTTACATTTTTGCCTATTTAACCTAATTTTAAAAACTTTAATACTTCCGACAATGGAAGTTCTGAAAAGATTTAGTCAGTGTTTTTTCATGATTCTACATAATGATTTCAGCGAGATATAAACTGAAATACATGAGAAAGATACGCGTTCCTATTTATCGCTTTCTATAGCGACTGCTCACAGTTTTTCATTTTTCATTCCATCTACCAATTAACTGTGAAAAGGATTTTATTGTTGCTACTTTTCTTGTGTTTCAAACTGCCTTTCCAAAGTGATGGGTGTGGGGTGCAGTGACATTCCAGACTGATGGGCCATTGACAGTATGCAAACTACTACAGGTGTGGGGACACCTATCTCATCAATATTCATTGTGCAGACCACTGACTTTGAGAAAAAGAGTGTCACTCTAAAGTTCTAACACTTTAGTAATCAAACCACATAAAATTTCAGAATTTCGTCTAGCCAGTAACTGTATGGACGAGGTGATCGTCTAGTCAGTATAACTGTATGGACGAGGTGATCGTCTAGCCAGTAACTGTACGGACGAGGTGATCGTCGAGTCAGTAACTGTATGGACGAGGTGATCGTCGAGTCAGTAACTGTATGGACGAGGTGATCGTCTAGTCAGTAACTGTATGGACGAGGTGATTGTCTAGCCAGTAACTGTACGGACGAGGTGATCGTCGAGTCAGACCACAAGCCGCTGGAGGCGATCATGCATAAGCCACTGGCAGCTGCACCTCCCCGGCCACAATGCGTGATACTGCAGTTACAGAGGGAT